ATTGCCAGTTATTTATGTGTGGATGCTTTTTGGCTGGCAATTCTACCATGACACCTGCTGCTTGGACCCTGGTTTACGATCTGGCCAGGGATGTTATCTGAGTGGATCTTTTCTTCTTAGACAAGGCAGGTTTGGATGAAAGTCCCCAAATACCAGGGGGCTGAGGATCTAATTGTTTGGTGTGGGCTCAGCTTTACTTAGTTTTCATTTTCCAAACAGGGCAGGCTGGGTGCATGTTTTGTGAGCCGCTGACACACGTGCTGGAGACCCTGAACTCTCATTTCCATGTAGCTGCAGGGAGCAGACACCAGCTGTGATGGGTTCGGTCACAGAGACCCCCTTGGGACTGTCACCTGATGTGCTCAAGTTACCTCTGAGCCTGTTTTCTCTGAGCTTTGGCACAAGATGGAAATCTTTTGTCTCTCTGAGTCCCCACCCCGCCTTCTAAATGGAAAAGTACCAGATTTAAGATGGATTTCATTATCAGTTAACATGGTCACATATCACTGTATGACCCCCTACTCTCCATTCCCCATGGGCTAACCCACAAGTACACAGGAAAGCTTTCAAGTAACTAAGGCCATTTACAACTGATTGTTTCTGGAGCACCCTTAATGGCCTCCACTTAACATGTTTATGTCAGTGATACAAGTTTGTATCATATTCTCCTAACTCCAGATATAAAAATAATACAGGCAAACAAATAGGATGAACACACTTAGTAGATTACAAGCTTTCTAATGACACCATACAGGGGGTATTTAGCGTAAAGCATAATCCAGTTATGTCATATTCATAAACATATTTCCATAAAGCATATGGAGTGCAACGTCACACCAGCCACGCACCCTGTAAAGCTCTTTACATAGAGGGCATCTGTAAATGCACAGAGGAAGCCAAATGTTACCTACTTCAGACTCTGTAAATTGCAGTTTTGTTTCAGTCCCTCACAAAGCAGCTTCACACCGGCATCTCCCAGATTATTATAACCTAGATCCAGTTCTGTCAGGTTCTGGTTGGTTCTGAGAACAATGGCGAGATCCCCACAGCAAGCATCTGTGAGAAAACAAGAACTCAAGCTGCAGGAGAGAGAAATGCAGAGAAAGGGGATCATGGTGTGAACAGGGCTCATCACAGCTGTTCTGACAGGCAGCCCCGCCCACCAGTCCTCTCCTTGACCAATCAGCATTGAGAATGGGCCAGAAATTCTAGCCGAGGCCCTGTCTCAAGTTCTACCCCTTAGCCAATGAGTAACCAGTGTTGGGTGGATCTTCCTGCTTAAGCCCCACTGCTTCCCCTTGAGAGATAACCAATCAGCATTGAGAATGGCCCAGACATGTCAATCCTCAAAACTGTGTCATTGACCAATGAGGAATAAGATTTGTTTTAAGGCTTCCTCCTATGCAGCCCTCCAGCCCTTTCTAGGGACCAACCAGAATTCAGGATGGGAACTAGGTCCCTTAAGTCCTGCCCACTCAGCTCTCAACCAACCACAGATTAGCTCCAGGATGGTATGACCCAATCAGAGCAGGCCCATCACTACAGGAAGGCTGTAGGGGGAGTCCCCTCCCCAGGCAGCTGGGCCAGGCTCAGAGCAGGAGCTGGGAGATCCTGCCCCTCCATGCCCCTGGCACTAGCTCTGCAAAAAACAACCCTCTGAAGCACCTGGCATTGGCCACTGTCGAAACCCAGGATGCTGGGCTAGATGGACCATTTGTGAGCCAAATTCTCAGCCAAACCAGGGCTGCTCGCTCAACTGCCCTTCCAACAGTGCCTGCACTGATCAGTCCTAAGGCATGCAACAATGACCTAGCCCCTGAGCAGAGCCTGGCCAGGTGACCCCCAGGCTCAGAGTATTTCCACAACCCCGCTAGAGCGGCAGATCAGTCTGGACAAGAGGACTACCCGGCCAGGAGCCCTCCTGCTGCCTCCCAGTGCATCACATTCTGGAAACTCCCAGCCTGCCCCTGCCTTGCCTGAGCCCTGTCCCAGTATTGTCCTTGCCCTACTCTAGCCTCACTCCAGCCCTGTCACCAACCTGCTCCAGCCTTGCCTCCGACTCCCAATCCTTCCCAGACTCTGACTACCCAGCTTCAACCTTCAGCCTGTATGTGGACACTGGGTTCAATATTGGCTTGGCTTGTCCCTGGACTCTGACCACCCACCCTCAACATCTTGCCTGGATTTCATTTAAGTACCACCTTGGGCCCAAACCCAACCCTACACCTAGCTTCAGCCTATACTCCAACCACTAGGCCTGCTTTTCAGAGGCACCGCCTCACACCATAGGTCTGACCCAGTAGGGCCATTCTTATGTTCTACTGTCTCTGTCTCTCCCACCAGCCCACATGTATGGATATTAATCTCAAAAGCCCAAAGTTAAAGGTGTTTATAAACTCTTTCTCTGCCCAACATTAAACAGTGACAAGAAGGTTTGGGGTTATTTTAAACAGAGGCCTTAGTTTCACTCAGTTATTTGGCAAACAGCCAAAAACATTCATTCTAATTAAAAGTTTATTGATTAACCACAAGAAAGAACAAAAGTCAAAACTGTCTTTTATATTGAAAATGTCACTGAGTGATTATGCAAACCAAACAGTCAAAATCTTCTACGTCTTTTTCTTTTTGGAGGCAAAATATCAGTCTCTTATTTTCAGAACAACTTTTCTTTGATGGAAAGGAAAGGAGTAATTTTATTATCAGTCCTGATGTATACTTTACTTATCCTGTTTTTTAACAGACAGACAGACACAAGGTGAAGAGAGACAGGATAGAAAAGATGGGTGAAAGCTGAGTTTTGTTGATGTTTTTGGAACACTGTATTGCCAGTTATTTATGTGTGGATGCTTTTTGGCTGGCAATTCTACCATGACACCTGCTGCTTGGACCCTGGTTTACGATCTGGCCAGGGATGTTATCTGAGTGGATCTTTTCTTCTTAGACAAGGCAGGTTTGGATGAATACAGCATAGCTGACTTCTGGATTTCATGAAAAGCCAAAAGAGTAAAAGAGAGAACATAAAAGGCAAGGAAAGGGGGGCAGAAAATAATACAAGGGAAGGGAAAACAATGCAGTATCTTATGTGCTTCTGCAGTGCTGGCAGTTTGACACCCCACTGCTGGGCTGAGGATTGGATGTCATGATAATGCGATGACCTTCAGCACTCACAGGTGAAAACAAAGTTCCTTGAATAAGTTTAAGGCCACCCAGCCTTCCTCTCAGGAAGAAAGTCCTTTAGCTGAGCCGACATGAGTTGCAGTGCTGACAGTTTGGGGAATGAGCTGGGATGCAAGGTGGGATGGAAGATGAGAGGGGGAGCTTATCTGAAGTGATCTGATTTTTTTTTCCGAAGTCTCTTTTGAAGGAACGCAAAAGTGGGAAAAGTGGGCATCATAGTTCATCTCCCTTATGATTTTGTGCTCCTATTAGGCCTAATATCCGTCACACCAGTTTCCGGTTCCACATTATCTGTTTTTCACAAGCATAATTTCAACAGTCCTTGGATTATAACAACATAGCATTTTTGGTTTAAATTAATCTATTTTCTCTATCTGGTTTTCTTCCACCTCTGGCAAGATTCAACATCGTAAACAGCTTGACCTATTTTTCACGGTTATTGTAACATCTTATGGATTCTCACATACTGTTTACATTTGAGCTCACAACGTGGGTACAGTTTATAGGCCTAATAGTCATAACAGCTCTAAGCTCTGACCGTCAGGCCTGGGGAGGGGAGGCAGCCACCAGGGCCAGTACTGGCAGCATCACACCCACCTTCCACTGACATCAGAGTTAAAGGGGGAAAGACAAAAGGGAAAAGAGCCTCCTGGCAAGAGGGATCCCTGAGATTTAGGGAAAGAAGAGCCCCTGAAAGGGGGGTGACCATGTGAACCTGTTGGCAGGGCCTGATTCACACCCTTATTGAACTTATAAAAACAGAAGCTCTGCTGGTTTCTGTAATGCTCCAGCAGAGTCTGGGCTCCTGATAAAGCTGCCAGCCATCTGAGTGGGTATCCATGGCAGCAGACTGGGTATGACCATGTGCCCTCAGGGACCACCCACAGGCATGGCTGTCTTTGTCCTCCTTCAAGGCCTCACAGGCGCTGCACACCAAAGCATGAGCCCTCCCCAACTCCACCAGCTGCCAAATTCTGTGCATGTCCCAGATTTCACACCCATCAGAACTGGACATGGCAGTGACCTCTCCATCACTGCAGTAGCCTTGAAACTATAGTCATCCTACTGAAGGGGGAGCAGAGCCCCCAATGCTTGGGAGAGAAAAAGAGCCGCTGAATTTGTACAAGGGAGAGAAGCCCTCAATCCCTGGGTGAGCCCACAAGTTCTGTAAGGGAGAATAGAGCCCCCAAGATATTTTGGAGGCAGAACGAGAGGAGCCCCCTGTGAGTGAGGGACTCTAAAGTTGGGGTGAAAATGGGGAGTAAAACACCATGGATATATGTGGGAAATTGGGGAGATAAGCACTAACTTGGGGGGCAGGGGCTGGGGAGAGAAGAGGCCATCCAAGATAAAGTGATGGAGAAAACCCCCATAAAATGTACAGCTAAAATAAGAGAAAAGACACCTGAGAAGGCGAGGAGAAAAAGACCCCAAAGTGGGGAGAGGAAATGTGAGGGGAAAGGAGGACTCCAACCGGATTGAAAGGAGAAAACCCCATCCCCCCAGCAGTAGTAAAGGGGTGTTGTATTAATTTTATTAAATTTTCCCATCAACATTCATTATTAAGAACATAAGAATGGCCATACTGGGCCAGAACAAAGGTTCTTCTGGTCCAGTATCCTGTATTCAGACAGTAGCCAGTGCCAGGTGCCCCAGATGGAATGAACAGAACAGGTAATCATCAAGTGATCCATCCCCTGCCACCCATTCCCAGCTTCTGGCAAACAGATGCTAGGGAGACCATCTCTGCCCATCCTGGCTAATAGCTATTGATGGACCTATCCTCCATGAACTTATCTAGTTCTTTTTTTAACCCAGTTGAAGTCTTGGCCTTCACAACACCCTCTGGCAAAGAGTTCCACAGGTTAATTGTGTGTTGTGTAAAGAAATACTTCCTTTGTTTGTTTTAAACCCGCTGCCTGTTAATTTCATTTTGTGAACCCTAGTTCTTGTGTTATGAGAAGGAGTAAATAACACTTCCCTTTCTACTTTCTCCACACAAGTCATGATTTTTTTAAATCTCTATCATTTCCCCGCTTAGTTGTCTCTTTTCCAAGCTGAAAAGTCCCAATCTTACTAATCTCTCCTCATACGGGAGCTGTTCCAGACCCCCTAATCATTTTTGTTGCCCTTTCCTGAATCTTTTCCAATTCAAATATATCTTTTTTGAGCTGGGGCAACCACATCTTTCTTGCCTCTGAAGAAGTGAGGTTCTTACCCACGAAAGCTTATGCTCCCAATACTTCTGTTAGTCTCAAAGGTGCCACAGGACCCTCTGTTGCTTTTTACAGATTCAGACTAACACGGCTACCCCTCTGATACTTCACATCTGCACACAGTATTCAAGATGTGGGCACGTCATGGATTTATATAGAGGCAGGTGACTGAACCATTTCATAAACTTCCATCAACTTTTCCTCAGGCTTACAACTGAGGTAGGACCAGGACCAAATTATTACTAGAGGGGTAAGAAAATGACCCTCTTCCCTTGCACCATCATATGTTCAATGGAAGAGATAAGAGTTAGGTGGAGTAAGTGAAGACCCACCATGGTGTGAACTGTAAGAGAGACCTTTGGGGAAGAGCAGTGAAAGTGGGGAGAGACCCTAAATGGAATAAGGGCCCATAGGAAGTGATATGGGGAAAGGGAGGGACGAGAATCAATAAAGATGGTGGGGGTGAAAGAGAGAGAATGAATGAGCTATAGAGGGAGTATCAAGGGAACAGAGAGAAAAAGGAGGAAAAAGGGGAAGATGAAGGCAGAGGTTTAGAGGGGAAATGGCAGGGGGGAAAAGAGTTAAATTGGAGAGTAAACACAGACAAGTGAAAGGCTGAAGGAAAAAAGAGAAAAGAAAATACCCGAGCAAAGAGAAATAAGAGAACAGATTTTTAAACAGGGGGT